AATACAGCACAGAGAGGAGACTAGACCCGAGGTCAGGAACATGCAGGACACGCTCAAACTCGAGCAACCGCCCAGGCTTCCCTCCTATCTGCGGCATGAAGCGCACAGAGCCCACACTGGCCGAGTAGATCACTTTGGAGTCTGCAAGGCGAATGGGTATCTTGTGGGGCTTGTAGGAAGAGAACCAGTCACGGTGAGGCGTCATATGACAAGTGGCGCCTGTGTCTGCGTTCCAATCAGCGCTGGGATCGCGTGAAGGGCCGTTCAAGGCAGGAGAACTCACGTCAAGGGCGTGCTCCACGGCATAAGCCATAGAGATGGCCTGAGTGGAGTTGGGGACTGCAGCAGCCTCCTGGGCGTGCTGTGAGCCTCCTTTCTTGTTGTTCCGGCGGTTCTGGCGCCTTTCGGCAGCCTTCTGACGAGCAGCAGAGCGCGCATCGCGCTTGGCAAAGCAGTGCTCCTCGTCATGACCCTTCATCTCGCAGAAATCGCACAGGAGGTCCGCCTTGCTAGCTGTAGGCGTTGCAACGCGCATGGCAAGGGTTTCTGCGGAGGCAGAACCATCCTGGCGGCCGTTCCGCGTCTGATGCTCCCGCACGAAGGCTTGAACGATCTCAGACTTGGTGGCATCCCGCTGAATGAGACCTGAAGTGAAGGAGTCATACTCCTGGGGCAGGGATCGAAGCATGGACATGGCAGCTAGATCTGCGAGCAGCTGCTCGAGCGTGTAGCTGTCCGGGCACAAGTCCTTGAAGGTCTGAACGAGGGTGTCCACCCTGGAGGCCAGGGAAGGCAAGGACTCGTCAGGCTGCTTTCTGACGGCGAAAACAGCGTCCAGAGCGTTGTAACGCGCCCCAGACACCTTCTGAAGGTGGACTCATTGGAGCTTGGCCCAGATCAGAGGTGCATCCAGCTCGATCCCGGTGAAATGAACATGCTGCGACGCATCAACAGCAAGGAACATGGCCCCAGCGGCCTGAGCCGACTTCTCGAGGTAGGTGATGTGCTCCGGGTCCCCTGCACTCGGCTCCTTGATGGTTCCGATGACTATGAACCAGAGCTTGTTCTCGGCCAAGTAGGCCCGCATCTCCTTCGCCCATTGGGCATAGTTGACGTCGTTCAGGGGCGTAACCCGACGAGAGGAGGTGAGCTCTTTAGACGAGGACATGGTGTCCTGATGCTGGAGTGAGGTGGAGTAGGTGAGATATGGTGGTGATGATGATGCAAGGAGGGCGAGGTGAGCCGAGTTGTGGAGGTGTAGGAGGGTGTGCGGTGCGTGTAGGACGTCCCAGGCGCGAAGAAGAGTCTGTCTAAGCTATCTAACTAGGTAGAAAAGCGAAAAAGAGCCCGTAGATCACGCAAATCACGCAAAACTAGTTACTTATAGATGGGGAGAGCCACACACAGACACGAACTTGACCCCTGCCACACACACAAAGGAATGGATACCCGGTGTGGCTTATTCCAGGGCTGAAAGGCGGCGAAGCCAATCAAGGTAGACGGGGATAGACCCACTCCAAGTTCTGCCCACCCAAGTGTTTATGTGTAGCTGTGGAAGCCCTATGTGTCTACAAGCGCTCACAGGAGGTCAAGGGACTGTTAAAGCCTGTGGCAGCACGGGAAACGCGCAGGAGGGGACGGAGGAGGCGCAGGGAGCGCAGGTAGACGCTGGGGAGCGTAGAGCACCGCACAGATGTGCAGGGAGTGCCTGGGGAAGGCAGGAGGGTTGCAACAGCGGCAGAGGCATGTGTGCAGCAGCAGTAGCGTCGAAACAAGCGGTCAGAGCGCAGGGCTCATAACCTAACAGCGTAGGAGGGTGTCTGACGCGCTGTAGCGACCTGGGAGCAAGGGAATGGAGCTGTGAGTCGAAGTCTATTGAGATACAACTAGGGACAGACCTGGGAGCAAGGGAATGGAGCTGTGAGTCGAAGTCTGAGGACTCTGGGCTCCATCCCTGCTCCCTAAATACATTCAGCTATGATGGAAGCTATGGTAACAGGTAACAAAGGGAGATATCAAAGCTATGGAGATAGGGATCAAGCATGTGGAGATGGACAGTTGGAATCAGTGATCTAAGCAACCAACTGACTGTTGGACCGGTTGCATCAGTTGTGTGGTCAACCAACTGATGCCAACTGATGTGAACGGATGGGAGGCATGTAGCCAGGAGACCAGCATCAAAGGATGATAAGAGCAGCCAGAAAGCGGTGACCAAGGG